CGTCCGGGCCAACTCTCGTCTAGAGTCCGCACTTCGGTCGACTTTTCTGGTCAAGTGACGGAACTCGACGCATTGCGGCGCCCGGTACAAAGATCTTGTAGAACAAGGGACCGACCAGCGCACACGACGCTCAGCGGTGGATGATTTAGGGCGCAATTAGTTGCTAGCCTTGTGAAGGGACACGGCGTGCCGAAACAAACCACAAATGAAGGAATATTATAACTCAGCGACAGCGAGGACAGCTGTCCACGAAAAATTGAGGACTAACATTCGCCCCCAATTAGGGACTGTGATCCCTCAGAATGCAAGACAAATAGGCTGGGAGCGCCTCGTAACTTTCGACGCACGGAAATTTCCGAATTCTGACTAATAAAAGTTTATTTTAAATTTACACATTCCAGTTAAAAACATTGGTGTTCACGTTAAGACCATGTGTGTAGGACCAAAATCAACGACAAAATCGTTTAAAAGCCCAAATATAAGCTGTTATAATAATTTTCAACCATTTATTGCCTCAATTTCAAGTTTCCGCACCAGTCGCCTTCAGCAATCAAGTCTTCATGTAACGAATGGTTGAGTAAGTTACTATTTGTAATGCTTACAAAAAATGATTCAACAATGCTCAATATAATCGTTTAAAGTAGAAAAATTTGATTTTTAAGTTGACATTGAAGAGTTAAATTTGAGTTGTTCATTATTATTATGTAAATTCGTAATGCAACAGCAGCACCGATGCCAGAGTTTCTGCATAATACTTATATAAGGAGAAGTTGAACGACTGGACACAATGGCGTTACATTAGCCTCGTGCGAAGACCTACGTTGCTGTGCTAACGTCACCGCCTTCCCTTATATTAGGCATAACATCCATTTTTGAGCTGTGCACGCTTCACGCTTGTTGTTTATTTCTGATGGTAAATTACGGACCAGGCAATAAGTCCAGCAGCTATCTCAATCAATCGTCAGCTATGGAAAGATCGGGTTCCAAAGGCCGGATCCCTTGTGAATCAAGTCACGAAAAATTCAAGAATCGGCAACAGGCCATGGGCCTATTTCTTCAACGCCGACACTTCTATTCTATTCTATTACCTCAGGCCGACCACCTGCTACTCGTTGTAGTGCTCGTGCCCTGTCAGGATACGAGCATCGCCTGCCCAGGCACGAAACTCTACACGTGCCACAAGCTCTGCCACATGCTGGTGTAGGCAAGGCCAGTGATACAAATCCTGCCATGTAAGTTCTGTAGAGACTTCAGTGGCTTCAGTCCCTACAGACTTCAGTGGCTTTAGTCCCTATACAGACTTCAGTGGTTTCAGTCCCTACAGACTTCAGTGGCTTCAGTCCCAACAGACTTCAGTGGCTTCAGTCCCTACAGACTTCAGTGGCTTCAGTCCCTACAGACTTCAGTGGCTTCAGTCCCTACAGACTTCAGCGGCTACTGCATCACTGCGCAGTAGGTACATATGCTGAGGACAATACTCGTTTATTTTTCTCCTAAAAAGAGACCTTTGAGTCTGAAGCGTGCCTGACATGATTGAAATTTGTAGACGAACACGCTAATCTTTCTAGACCAGTGTTTCTCGGAGTTGTGTTACAAGTAACTGTGTCAACAAATGCGCTTTCGTCTGTTTTTTAACATTGGAAAAAAAGGAGCAACGTTGAACATATATTACATTTGTTGAAAATAATATTTCGAGTTGTTTAAACTATTATTATTAAACTATTATTGGTCAATGCGACTGGGAACAAATGATTCAGATTATCTGGATCAACTTCCAGCCGATTTCGACAGTAAATATTTCCTTGGGTTACATAAACAGTGAAAACTCATCAAGATCGTATCGAGAGAACACAGCTCATGTAATAACTCCATATTCCAGTGCATTGCTGAGTACTCGCATATCAAAATTTTGTCTTCAAAACCAACAGATAACATAACATAACTTAACATAACTTATCTCGGCGCTGAATGGTAGGCCTGATGTGGCCTGTCGCCGATTCTTTTCCTTTTCGTGACTTGTTCACAGAAGATCTAAAATCGTGTCATTTGACCGGATCTTTTCATGACTGACGATAGTTTGAAGTAGCTACTAGACTTCCACCAGGTTCGATATGGTGCTAGGCATTTCAAATCTGAACATATATTTTTCCATAGCTTTATCTAGTCTGTTCTTGAACGCGTTCATACTTGGAGCGGATGTTCAGCAAGCTAATAATAATAATTTTTCCGCATAACATCCATTTTTGAGCTGTGCACGCTTCACGCTTGTTGTTTATTTCTGATGGTCACGGCCACAGTCAGACTGTCAACTAAAATTACAAATTTCGTCGGATATTTCGTAAATATTAGATACAAAAATATTCTTTACAATCATTCAAACGGTAATTCACAATTATATTGGCACTCATCCTGCCATCACAAGTTATTCCGACCTTTTATGTATCCGAACGTGTTGGAATTTGCAGGTGGACATTAATGAAGAGAAATTAAAGTTATTCACAAAAGATAATAAACTGTCTTGCTTCGGACAGCACAGAGCGGAGTGAACATAATAGTTTGTGTTCATGCCGAAGGAAGTGAAGCCAAGTACATTAACATGCAAACGTATAAGACGAACTGATAAACATTTTTACAAAAAACTGACCTCTCCCATATAACATATTTGCAGTCGCGGATTGTGGGGAGACAATGGAAAGGATTCATCTGGAAACAGAGGGTGTTGTGAATTAGTTAAAGTCTACCATAAGTACGTTTTCTAACATTGAAAATTCGACTTTGGAGAAAACGTTCATTGCAAGAGATGGTATACAATTCTTTATCAGCGAACAAATAATAGAAATTTAAAACGAAATGAAAATGTGGGAGTTAATTAATAATATCACAAATTGATTTTCAGAAATGAAAAGTTCCCTGGGTTGGTTGCGTTGCAAGGGAGTAGATTTCAACAGGGTTAAACTTCTAAATTATATAATGGTTGCAATTATTTTAATTTTGTACATAAAAAAATTAAATAGAACTGTTTTTAAAATCCAATTTGTATTGTTTACCATATAGAGGCGATTATTATATCTCATGCCTATTCAAAAAAGTGAACCTAAGTTACCTAACTTCAAATCCAGTTCACAAGTCCAGTTCAAGTCAAATTCAAGTTCACTCCAAGTCCAGTTCACTCCAAGTCCAGTTCACTCCAAGTCCAGTTCACTCCAAGTCCAGTTTACTCCAAGTCCAGTTCACTCCAAGTCCAGTTCACAAGTCCAGTTCAAGTCAAATTCAAGTTCACAGTTCTCCATTAAATGGTGCCAGAGCGAGGGAACTAACGAGTGTGTTGATATATGCAATGAAGCAACATGTAAAGCACCGTACCAGTGTAAGATTGATAATTAGAGAACTCAGTAAAATAGGTTATAAATGCTTTAATCATAATCTTCATTATATCCTCACAAAATACCCCAAAACTGAACTACTTGCTCATGCTCTACAGAAGCGTGTTTTTCTTGCTTACAATGTAAAGGCTGCGAGAAGAAAATTGTTTAAATCAACGTTAAAATGGAAGCTTGCTCAATCAAGATAATTAAACAAAAAAAAAAAGCCGCTCCATATAAATAATTGTTTCTCAATTAAGTGTAGCGGATGATGCATATAAGATTTCGGTTTCACTTGCGCGCCATGCTAACATCGCCGTTCTAGAACATTCAGTTGAAAAAACATGCAAATTTAAAAGTGTCACTCCATTTTTTTCACTACATCATTCTTCCGGAATACTTAGGTTAAATAATTCTCGTTGGCACGCATTTAAGTTGCGTAAACATAATGGAATCGTAAATATTTTAATTGGAAAATCGAAATCACACTAGTTTCATAATAGGACTAAATGGACTTAAAAGTTGCAGTTTCACTGACATATATAACTGGAAACTAGCACTAACTGTGGTCTATCAATCACGAACATGATTTAACGTTATATTTAAAATTACGAATAGCTCTAGAATTGTCGTTCAGAAGCTGCGCTATTAAGTAATTTCGTCAGTCAATTAAAGTTTTCATTTCCGAGTTACTTGTAGACGGAGAGAGCTTTTTTGCATGCTTTCTGGCAGTAACTCAAGTTCTTTTCTGGTACAAAATCTTTTCCAATCAAGTCTGCTCATTATCGATGGCATATATCGCATTCATATTATACAAAATGATGAATAACTAGATACAAAACATGAACCTGGGTCATTTAACAGCATGCATCTTAAGAGTACCACTTACCGGATATAGCGATGTGTAGTATCATGGCGAGATATTTACCTTAGAACTATTTTATAGAATATTTCGGTAAGCAGCGTTCTTCAGTATCTATAATCATCGAACCGTTCATATCGATATTGCATTCAGAATAATTTGTCAGAAACGTAGAATTGGGTATAAAGATTGAATGATGTTATGAAAGAGTAGGTCGATGGAAAAAAAAAGCTAACGAAGAAACGTCATAATCCTGGCAAGTTTCATAGTCTGCAATGCACGTTCCTTGAAATGAATTTCGCAGATTAAAGAGAAATTTATTCAGTAATAACTCCCTGAGCACACGTTTTGAAACACTTGTAAAACAATTGATTATAGAAATGTTTCATGGATTTCGATTTTTTTTGTGTGAGTTATTATATAGTCAAAGTAACTAAAGATTACCAAATGATTATACAACAAACATATTTAATCTATAAGAAAATGGTAAAATTAAAACTCACCTCGCAATTCTTGTCCACTTTGAATGTTCGCAATAGTGTTTTCTTGTTATAATACTCGGTGATAGAGATAACTGATAAATTTTGTAGCAAGCAAGATATTAATGAAACTTAGGTTCGTATTCTGGAACTATATAGGTTCTTACGAAAGGTAAATAAGAGATAATTGATAAATTTTGTTGCAAGCAAGATATTAATGAAACTTAGGTAGTTATTCTGGAGTGATATATGTTCTTACGAAAAGTAAATACATAGTGAAAATAACCAGGTACTCACCTCTCCCAGATAACATAGCCTTGGTCGCTGAGCGTAGGCACGCAGTGCTGGGGGTTAAGCTGCACATGGATGGCAGAAAGCTTTATGCTAGCAAAAACGTGCACATGTCAACCTGGCGCTCTGTACATCTGTAAAACTTTACTTATAAGTTTCATGTTGATCCTCAATATATACAAATAATTTTTATACATCTATGATTTGTCGAAGCATTCGACAATGCACCAATTTATAAGTGATTCAATCATGTGTTTCCTGGCTTTGCCCATTATATACACATTCTTTGCACATTGTATGAACATGTATGCTCAAATTTGTGTTTTTGTTTACATTTTAGCCCCAGGCATATAAATGAAGAAATGTGCTTGATTTTAAATCCAATCTATCAAACAATAAACATGAAAGTGAACTTTTACACTGGCTTAGCAGAAATTTTAAATTAATTCCTGATCAGGACTATAACAAGTCTCATTAGATATCGTCGATTTTATTTAACAAAGTTGCATATTTATAAGGAGCGAGCGTAAAAATGTATTATTGACGCATATAATCAACTGTAAATAGATACTCTTTGACCATCATGTCGAATTTTTGCATGATTAATAAATTTTACAACAAATTTTAACGTTTTGGCAATGATATTATAAACATCTTTAGATTATTTCGTGTCACTGCCGATAACTGTTTAAAGCATATATTTTTAAGATCGTGGCATTGTTGTCTGGAAAATCGTGAATTGAAGAAATATCAATAATACATCGTGCAGAAGTGAATGGAAAAATAAGTTGCTATAATAGACCTTAATTTTGCTTCATGCTAATTATCTATGAAGAATATACTCGTTTCAAAAGAACACTCGGCAAGCAGCTAGTTCACCCAACAGGTTAAGTATCGTACAAGATTGCAAATAGATTTTTTCTTTAGATGAATTCATAAAAACATATATACCAATCTTATTAGCCTGTACACACGTAGTTTGCTGCGAAGTTATCTGTACAGAGGCGCTTTACGCAACAGAGTGGGCAGTATTGACAAAGCCTCGAGATTGTCGAAATCAGGGGGCATTTGAAAAAAATGTATGGACTTCTAATTCCAATCGATTTTGATTTCACATAATAATTTTAAACACGATTGATTTTTTTACACAGTTTAGAAATGAAAGTTTATCAATGAACGAGATTCAATTCATCAGAGGTAAACGTCTATCCTAATTTAGGCCGCCAGAGCTCACTACGCAAGTTTGCTACATCGAAAGTAGTCAAAGGTTACTTTCAAAGAGTAACCAGAAGAGTTACGTAATATTATGGAGGCTATTACTTCGCAAGAAAATAAATGCTACGTTACGATTTCAGGCTAGTTACTCATAAAAAACAGTTTAGACTCACATCATGAGAGGTTATTCCCTAGGGTAAAATTGCTTATCAAAATGTGTCTAATCGCTATTTAATTTATGAGCTCTAAAGAAATATACCCAGTGCACCTATAACTAAAGAGAGGTACTCACTCTGAGGAACCAATAAAGAAATATACCCAGTGCACCTATAACTAAAAAGAGGTACTCACTCTGAGGAACCAAGGTCTCTTGGTCTCCGCCTTGAGGAGGTCCACCTCCTTCTCGTCGACCTCCACCTTGAGGTGCTTAATGGTCATCCAGACCGCCCTGCACGGCGCCGACGCCTTGTAGAAGTAGAACTCGGTACTCAGCCACGCCATCTCTTGCGCTTCTTACTGGCAACGGAGGATCAACAAGGATAATGAGATACTTCAGTATTTGATGTAAAACAATGAGACAGGTCAACGATTTAGTTAAGAATAAAGATCCACGATACGTGCAGAACTTGTTTTATGATTCCACGAAACTCGAATAAAATATTTGCCAGGGTGTGACGATTTTGTTGAAATGTTCTAAAGACGAAGAGGTGCACAGTGATTTTAATATGTAAAACGTATCACTGTATAATGCAGTTCAATAATTGTGATGTCACTTCGTTCGATTAGGGGATTGCGAGCGCCGTTGAATGCGCACGCTGCTTCAGCGGCACCTCGACTGACCGCTCTCGTGGCTCCGGCTGCCTAGTGCTGATGTCACCTCCCAGCTCCGAGCGATACCCACTTCACATCGTGACTCCTTGGGTTGCTCGGTCTCTGAGTTACATTCTAGGGTCGCATCAGAGATCCTGCATCAACTGACAGAGATATGACGCTTGTCTTAGGTGGAAAACATGTGCCACCTCACAAATAGAGCTTCAACTAGAGATAGAGTGATTACTTGGATTACCGAATTGTGTTCCCTCAACGGTACTTTATTTCCACTGAGAGATTTTTCTCACCCTCATGAAGTTATGAACTCAATCCGGTAATAAAGTCAGTTGGTCGACTCGTGCTGCCGCAACAATGTAAGAGCATATTTTGCAAATGAATCAAAATCAAAATAACCTGATTACAAAAGGCCAATAAATCTTGTCATATTAAGCGAATAGTTCGACCTCGTCTTCTGTGTGAAAAGTAGTGCTTGTATTCTAGGATGAATGAATGGTCTTCACAGATTGACTTGCTTCCTTCTGGTTTATGTGACGACATGTCTCGTGTATCACTGCTCCAAGTAACTCTCCTACATCTTGCGGACGACGGGAGATAGCGAAAGGATATTAAGCCCGTGTTATCTCTGCAATCGCCTCAGCAGAGTTCCTCTCACCGGCAGACGTATATATACAACATTTGTACAGTAGAGAGATTTTAGTCTATTCGTTGTCTGTTTGCTTATTTGTCTGTTTGCTCCGGCGACTAGGCTAATTTCCTTCGTCTTTCCTAACTCGTGCAGAGTCCATGTATTGCTAATTGAGTGAAATTGACGATAATTGAAATGTTGAAATCTCCAATGCAAACTTGCCAGTAGGATTTGAGTGGCTGGTAAGACCTTACTGAATGTAGAGGGAGTCATTTTCCATAGCGAATATAATTTTATCATGTCTATATATAACTCGATAACTTAAGTTCAAGGAAATGACGAAATAAATTTTACGACTCGCTGAAAATCTAGCGTCGAAGACGAGGCAATGGACACAGCTGAAGATTTTGCGGAATTTGGCCACACTTGAAAGGTCTGCATCCGTGTGAGTAAATAAGGACGGCGAGAGTATCACCGGACAAAGGTTGTGCGTGCATTAGTGAGATTCTCCTTATGTTGAACATTTTGAGAGACATGCAGCTGCTTTTACCTTCTCTTAAATTTTTCTCATTTTACTTAGTGAGAAACACATTTTAACTTCTCATGGTATGCATGCAGAGGAAGCATCACAAGGATACCTGCTGTTCGCGCTAAAAGCCTTCTTCCTTAGCAAGTACTTAACACGAAACGTGCACTTGCAGCTTCGCATCAAATGGATGTATGCACCACAATACTCGTCTCATGAGCATTTCTTCAAGCGTCATTCAGTAAACAAAAGACTGACTTCAGGCATGCGTCTGTCTTGACTAAGCTTTTCTTACCAAACTTGTTCGCATGACAGGAGCAAATTTAATGCAGCAGACCATCCAGTGGGCAAGTATATTGTGTTGGTTTAGGGTCGCGAAGGCAAGCTCTTTGACGCTCGTGTGTATTCATCGGCGGCCACTTTGACGGCACCAAGGAGACCTTTTAAGCGAGCTCCAGAGTGCATATCGGTGCTTCTCATACATATAGCGGTCGCTTTACTAAAAGGCTGCATTACTTACAAATTTGATGTTAAGTAGATAAATGAAATGAAATTTACAAGCTCTTTGACGCTCGTGTGTATTCATCGGCGGCCACTTTGACGGCGCCAAGGAGACCTTTTAAGCGAGCTCCAGAGTGCCTATCGGTGCTTCTCATACATATAGCGGTCGCTTTACTAAAAGGCTGCATTACTTACAAATTTTGCCAAATTTTGCGTTGTCTTCAAGTGAGCCTGCCTTCAATATAACTAATATTGCAGCTTTCATCCTCTAGTACTATGAATTTGTAGAGTTTAAAGTAAAGTGATGAATATAACAGCTATTACGAAACTCAATTACATTATGTACTTATTTTCTCATCATTTTTCTATTATTTTACAATTTATTTTTCATTATTGTATTTACTCAATCATAGACTTAAGAGTGATGTTTCAGTGAAGCAAAAGTAATAGTTTAATTACAGAGCACAACCTCAAAAAAACCCAGCGAATTAAATTTAAGCTCAAGATACGAAAATGCCCGCAAGTCAAGGTACAGCGAGAACAGGATTGAAAGGATTGAAGCTAAGGATTGAAGTTGACGGGCGAGGATTGATGGATGCTCTAATGGCGAGCTCAGAGAATGCTCGTGTACACACCTGAAGCATCAAACTATTTTTAAAGTCCACTTTATTCGCGAAATAATTCTGCAATCCTTTCCTTTGCTCGCAAATATTTTTATTTGCTCACCTTTTTGAAATACAGAAATTGTTATCATCGCCGCCGCTTTTTCGCTTGAGAATTTTGCGCCACTGAAACGAACACTGGAGGTTGTCTCTGCTTCATTGGTCTAGAATTATGAAGGGATCGTTCTTATTGATTTCTGTAGACGCATCTCTTTTTCGTGCGAGTTATTTACACAATATTTCGAGAAATATTCAGCTATGGTATTAATCCGTTAGGAAATGTATTTTGAGTAAAATTAATTAAGACCAGATGCTAACCGACGCACATATTATGAGCGAAGTTCAGCCAGGCCAGGGATGTCCAACATAAAATATTTTGAGAACAGTCGAGTCAGGACGAGGGCTGCGGGAGGCATAAATAACGTGGGCAAGACAGCGACAGGCGAGCGGGTGGTCATGTGCATATAGCGATGCCTGTTGGCGCTCAGGGGCCATACTTTCAAAACTCGCTAAGTTAACGTAAGTACTTACGCACTATTTTCTTGTCTACGATTGGAGGATTTTGCTCGAAAGGGCGTCAATGATTGGCGGATGAACTTACGATCTCTTAACTTTAGACGTTAAGTATTGGCCCAGGACGCAACTATATATATAAGAGCGACGCATTCGCGTGGTTTGGTATAGGACGAATATCAGCATCTTGCTTCTGGCCTTCATGGGCTTCGATTAATTACCTATCATTATTTAATGTTGGATATATATTCTTAGATAGGTACTGGCACAGTTGAGTATTCATTTACTATTTCACAAATTTATTCAAAAAAAAGGCAATTTCAATCAGATCATTTAATAAGGTGGACGAATAATTTTCCAATCCATGCTAGAGCATAAAATTAATAGCCAGAACATTTAGTATCGTTTGCATTCATGCATATGTCAATTACACTGACTAAGGAGGCTCAGTAATTACTTCAGCACATATGATTCTGTTATTATCTTTAAAACATATATTATAATACAGGAATGACATTTAAACAATCGACATGGCAACGACCATTAATGAAGCTTAAACAATCTATATTCCGCTTAATTATAACACATGTCTTTCGCAATGTCCAGCCGGCCATTAGTTTTGTTCAAACCGAGCACAAACCATATTTTTAAAGTAAAAAATGTTCACCCAAATTTATACTTGATCACACTTTAGAACACATACTCTGTTCATAATTGTTCCAACCAAAGCATAATAAATCCAAATATCATATTAATTTTATTGGTGGGAGCGAGAAAACAAAGGTTCTCCAATTCAAATAAAGCTTTACCCAACATTAGGTGCACAATTATTCCACTATTTATTCAGCACTAACTGTTCTGGGGTCTGGGGTCTGAATATTTAAATTGATGAAATGCGACGCATCCAATGTCGTTCCAATTGAAAAACGAAGTACTTAACAAGACTGCAGTTTTAAGTCTCAGAGGTCGATGTAAAACAATTTGGTACCTACCGTAATTCAAGTCAGGACCGCTGTAAACTGTACCCGAACAGTGTACACTGTACACATTTGGTTTGGTTCAGAAAGATCTTTGCCTTACTCACCAGGTCTGTTGCTCTCGACTTGGTGCCGAGTTGTTAATTATGAGGCTTATAAGGCAAGAGATACAGGATAAGATCCATCTCAGCAAGTGAGCACGAGCAGATCTTTTTCATAGAAGGTAACCTACGATGTGAGCTGCATGCTGCTGAGCAAAGGGCCGAGCCCTTTGTGGTTGTGTGCCTACGTGTATTCCTACATTCGTAGTGGCTGCACGGTGCCTATATATTCCCACTCGTAGTGGCTGCACGGTGCCTACGTATTACTACGCGTAGTCGCTGCGCGGTGCCTACGTATTACTACGCGTAGTCGCTGCACGGTGCCCCGTGCCTACATATTAGGATGCTATTACTACTCGTTGTCGCTGCACGGTGCCTACGTATTACTACGCGTAGTCGCTGCACGGTACCTACGTATTACTACGCGTAGTCGCTGCACGGTGCCTATATATTACTACGCGTAGTCGCTGCACGGTACCTACATATTACTACGCGTAGTCGCTGCACGGTGCCTACGTATTACTACGCTGAGTCACTTGATGTCAGGAGATGAGTAAGCCGCGCCCCCGCTCAGGGCGCAGGTGTGCCGCGTCCATAAAAGAGGACATCTAAAATTGTGACGAATAATAGCCTTTCCTGAGGCGAACATGTGCACTGCACAGCGTCAACATAATTTAATTTAGATATGAACACACTATGTTTCTGGACGATGTTGGTGTGTTTTAAAAATTTTAAGAAATTGTAATGTTTCGAATCAGTAACGTACTGACAATGTGCAAT